TTCTGTTATTATCATTTAATATGAGTCAACAATAATCATTGCTAGAACATTCATCTGTTGAGCTCACCTATCTTATTTTCGAATATCTCGCTTCTTATGATCTACTTTTCACTTTCAATCATCTTAACAAAAGATGCACGAGTATACTTGCTCAACAATCACATTGTCTTCCTAGTAATCAACATATGAAGTTTGATCGTTACACTGACTATATATCTTCAATTATACTCAAATGTGTCTCATAAATCATCTGTTTAATGTATCTGAACGACATTCGCCATGTGCAATCGAGTGGTTTCTCTCAGAAGTACCACTCGAAAAATGCAGATGGCCACCATTGAAAGCAGTTACCATCGACGATGTTCCATGTCACATCTTAGAGTGATTACTTAGTGATTATTTGCTTTTATCAAATATTCATTCGCTCTCGCTCACTATAGCTTATGGTCGATATCATTGTTCTGAATACAATGATTTATTTGATTTGTTATTGTCATTCCATTACTCAATAGTTTACCTGAATTATACTCAATCGTCGTATGTATTAACACCGATAGTAACAACAATTATGCTGTAAACTTCGACCAATATTGTCATTCCATCATTATTCATCCAAATCTGCATACATTTACCATCGTTGAATGTTCAAGAGAATTGTTTGTCAAGCTTCTTAATGTCAGCCATTTTCCAAAACACCGTTAAAATCATCCTTGGTGCGCAAACTATGCTATGTTAGTATTAAAATATTCGTCGATCATGCGTGGCTTTTTTCTTATTTTGAACATCTTTGACATCACAGTCATTTTGAACAATTCAACATATCCGCACATGTAAGGTTCACGTTAAATAATACTTTTCCTTGAGTATTTAAACTACGACAATGGTTAATATTAACTAAATCAAAAACATTTACATTTCAAATGAACTTATCTACAAATTCTGGACTCGATGCTCAAAACATTGAAAAACTATGCTTGCTGAATATAGACAAGTAACTGGCAATGATTCATCAGCAACAATATCGAAGTATAAACATTAGTTATCTAGTAATGTTATTATCTGATCAAATGAAACTCAGTAATAATACTTTAGATGATCACGATAGTAACATTAAAACTTGCAGTAGCGGAGTTATTGAAGATGAACCAATCGATGAAAATCTTGAAGTAAGACAAAAATTAAAATATTTCACTTGTAAAAAAGACTATTTTCATATGGAAATCGTCGATTTCATCTATATTGTAGACAAATAGCTTGAAAATATTCAAGCTAGTACGTCGTTGAGATCGTTTACGTAAAATAACCACTGAAGGTGATTATCCAGATGAGAAACAAGTTATTATATACAATCTGAACTTGTTAAAATCTATTTTCTACTTAATATAGTGGCACGATTGATGAGAATATTCAACATTTACTTGATATAGCTCAACATTCATCATATCTTCGTGATCTTCATATCGATGCAAACCTTGATTTTAGTCGCATTCTTTCATCCAATGTCAAACTTAGAACTTCACTTGTTTATGAACTGGAAATACTTTATTTTATTGCAAAAACTTTCTAATTGTTTACTTCATGATCTTGTTAAAATAATTGTTACCCTTTTTAGTCATTCATCATCATCGTCTGGATTGAAGCAATTAACATTTCATGCTGTTGGATATTCAAGATCATGGCTTTCTGCTCATCATTTAGTCAAACATATTGGAAAGATCTTTGATCGATTTCCAACTCTTATTCATTTTAAGTGGTGAGCATCCTAGAGTATTTCAAAACAGTAAACACAATTTATCGAAATTGCCTTCAAAATAGTATGCCAGATCGGTAGTCTCTCGGCCTAACATGAATTGCCGATTAAACTAAAGGCATAAGCCTAATTTACTTGATATTTGGTTGTAAATAATTTTGTGAATTAAAGTTGAAATATAGAATGATACACTTTGTTTATTTATCATTGTCATAAACAATACATAAACATTTTCACGATGAAGAGTCTCTATCAGTGATTATCATGAAGAAAATTTAAGGTTATGAAAGTATGTTGTGTTCTATGTCTTTTATTGGTGATTGTCATGGCAAAGTATTTGAAAAGTATGAATTCGATTATTGCGCTTTGTTGTATGTGTGCTGTAAGCTTGATGTTTTTTTTTCCTTCTATCTCTTAATGCTTTTTTTTATAATACACCAACACTCTGGAGTGCACTTAAAGTAAATGATACCTCCCTTTGTCTCTCTTTTATAAGTATTAATTTCGATGTGATATAGACACAGCTGGAGTGATAATAGAACATTTAGATACAGAAAAATACCTTCATTTGCTCTCATTGTTTGACAATATATCATATTTTTGATTTTTAGAAGCGCACAAATTAATTTCGAGTTCGACTATTACAAGAAGCGTTTGATATGAAATCAACTTTGATTAGTAGTGTTTTTTTAATTTCTTTTACAATGATATTCGCTCAAAATACACCTTACATTCAAGATGGACGCTACAATAGCAAGACCAAAACGATCGAAATAAATGTTCAGTATGGTGGCGGTTGTGCTGAACATAAATTTCAACTTGAAGTTGGTACATGTTTGGAAAGCTATCCAGTTCAATGTGATGCTAAGTTAATTGATCTTACAACAAATGATTATTGTGAAGCGTTTATTCAACGTAAGGTTTTAATCGGTCTTCATGAAGCTGGACTAGACAATAATTATTACACTGGTGCTTCTGTTCTGATCCACGGTGCTCGTGATTCAAAAGCTCTTATCATTCTTCCATAATAATGTCCATTGCAAGTATCATCATTTGATAGACTAAACACTTTTTTTTAAAATTTAAATATAGTATCTCACGTTGTGGGTGAAAGTAAGATTCTTCTCTTATGAAAGAGCGCTCAAAAACGTATCGAAAGAAAAAATTATTTTATTAAACCTCCAGAGAGACGGTAAATCATTTATTCCGTCATTGATTTATCTTGTTACTACATTATTATTGATCTATGCAGTTCGATTTGGGAAAGAAAATATGAAAAAGAAAATTTTCACTTTTTACTAGAATAACTAATGCTCGTACAACCCTCATCAAGGATTGTACCGATTTCTAATGAAATAATTCGACAATTGAACGATTTAACATTCTCAGCATCAATATTGTTTTTATGTTGAAAAAATAATCGACTACTTACTAAGAACTAAAAGCCTCTTAATCGCTGAAGATCCAAAGTCAGCAGTATTTCAAAGAAGAAATAGACCGATGTATGCATCAATATTTGACTCATAAGCATACAATCACTAGATAATGTTTCATCTCAAATATGAACATAGATTCAAACATCTTGCCTTTCGATTTCTAATGGCACCCGAGAGTGAATGTTAGAGTTTTAACATGTTTTCTTTTCTCATTCATAATCATTCTCACCGCTGTAACTGTTAAGATTCTGACTATCAGAAAATGTCAGAATTCACAAACAGATGATTTTCACATGAACGCTTCGAATAAATTGGCTCTCTTCGAATTTAAAATCGTACAGGTTAGTTTATATTGTTCAATTTTAGTTTAATCATGCTTTGTTAATTTTTTAGAGATCAAATTAGTAAGAAAAATGTGCCTTTTTTTGTGTTTATGATGGCATATAAAGCTATGTTTACAACTTTACGGGAAATAGTTTAAAATTTTATTTAATAAATGTAGACTGTCGTTATTCAAAACAAATAGTCATAGTATTATATATTCTTTCACATACTATGTATTTAAATTGTTTTGTATTACTCTATTTTTCTGATAGAGATCTGTAAATTGAATTTGCGATTTCAACTTAATTATAGATATTCTTTTCTTCTAGTACTTTTAAAAATAAAACATGCTGTTTGGAAGAGTATCAAGATTAATTTTAACTGAAAGATTTATATAAAGATTTAAAACATTGATTTTTTATTCTCTTACTTTACCCTTTATACTACACAAATATTTGATGATAAACAAGATTTAATGGATTGGCATCACCGTGTTTTCTTTTTTCAATAACCTAGTAGTCTCAGTCAATAAAAAAAAAAGATTTGAATAACAGTCAATTCCGGTAAAGCCAATGTTTATAATGTTCCTCATCATCTGACAACTGAAATAGCTTAATAAATTATTATTATCAAATAATCATTTGACACTTTTTTCTGAATCCATACTTGAATGAAAAATTTAGAATAACTCAATTCATCATTCAATCAAATGAGACGATTTTCAAATGAAATTCAAATAGTGTAAGTTTATCAATCAAAGTCTCATGATAGTCGAGTAAAGAAAACTTGTTTCCTCGTTTTTTTTCATATTTATCTATTTCTTTTTATTTTGTAACAAACATCTCGAATCATCTCTGAGTATGATAATTAGCATATCAATGCCCACATGCTCTTAAGCCACTTGCAGTCACAACAGTATTCAAAACGATAACGAACAATGCACAAATCTTCGAATGTTCATCGTTATAGATTAGAATAACTGCTAGTTGTTTGTAATTGTCTATAATTCTCAGAGTTAGAGATGTAAGGGACCTAGATTTTTTCGATCTAGAGAAGCCTATTCTAGACTTTATTCAATCTTGGAAAGCTTTTATTTTTTGTTCATGCACATCTTTCATCAGGACGTATTCTTTAAGAACATCTTTCGAAAGACTAGTTCAAATATAGTATTTAGTTCTTTGAAAAACAACCTTGCAACCATTCTATGGAGAGTTTCACATATGTTTTATAACATAAGATATATTTCTTTAAAGAAGAAATTTTCACATCAAACCAACATAAAATAATAAAATTTATTTATAGAAACTAGTATCTTGATAATATAAAATATTATTTTTAGAATTATGACTATCAAATACAAGGACCTATATTTGGAAGTAAAAGTATAAGCAATCATGATACTTTTGGTTTGCAATACAAATACGAGAGACAGAAAGAAATTATGAAAATAAAAATATACCAATTTCTTGAAGTTTTTCCATTTGTAAAATTTACTTCAATAGTCCCATAATTTGTGATACTCCACAACAATCATGATGAATTTTACAATATTCTTCAAAAACATCAGCTGGAACATTATCTTTATATAATTGTAATGTCATAAATCCATATGCCCAATACGACGGTTTTGTATTTCCATGTCCATGACGATTAAATCCATCTCGATAAATATGTAAATTACGTTTCATATATTCAGCTTTAACTTTTTCCCATTCATTAGCAAAACCTAAGGTAACAAATATTTTCTCAAAATCACCTAAATTCGATGTAAACAAAACATTTCCATTGTTCCAAACATGTTCATCATTATTTTTATAATCTCGTCCTAATAAAAATACTTTAATAATATCCAAACGTCGAGGAATCTTTTCATTTAGATTTAATAATTTATTTTTTAATTCAATAAATCCCAAACTTGAAGAATTTGTAATTGCTAAATGAATCTTTCCATGTGTTAAACCATCTCGCATTAATTTAATCATTTCATTATGATCTCGAGATTGTATAATTGCTTGAACTAATTGAACAACTAATTCAGCACGTTCTGAACGTCCTTTTACAGCTAAATCAGTAGCATATTGATTTTCAAATCGTTTACGAATATAATCTTGTACCATCTTTTTTGCTGCTTTCTCATCTATTAAATCAATAATTTTCATCTTTTCATTATCACTATTAACTCGACTAGCTTTACTAGTAAAGAGAAGTGCTTGAACAACATTATAAAACTTAAACGTTTTTATATCATAATTTATTTCTAATGTTTCACAGATGAAGTTTTGATTAATGATAGGAATATCTTTGATATTATCAATATTGTTATTAATAACAGCAGAAATATATTTTGGTAGTAAAGTAATATAATCAACATAATAAACCGTTTCAAGTAATTCATCTAGATACGATTCATCAATATGTATTTGATCATGAAATTGTATTTCATCTAATGTTGGTTCATTTTCAAATAATGGCTGAACTAAAGTTTTATATTTATTTAAATCAAGTCCAATTAATTGATCGAGCATTTTTTGTGCTATTAAATCTGAATCATCACGATTTTTATATTGTTTTCGAATAGCTTGCCAAATTTCATATGTATATAAAGCACGTAAGATTTTTGGTATTTGTTCTAATTTTTTACCATTATTTTCACGATATAATTTAATAAATGGACTTATCATATTTGTTGTTCCATTATTTGCAATATAGTAAGATAATAATCGATCATCTTGTTCTTTGATATAAGGCATTATATGTTGAAAATAATTTCCAACAACTATTTCATAAGTTTTCACTAGTTGATCAAAAGTTTTTAAATGTAATTCTGATTTATTCTCGTTTAAATCTTCGACTAATTTCCAAACACCAGCACAAATAGTATAACCACCAGTCATAGGAACATCAGCCAATAAACGTCTCATACCAATAGAACATGTATATTCCAATAATGAAGGAGCATTCTTATATAAAAATTGAGCAATCTGTTCATTTTCAATAATCGGAATTACATTCGTAATCACTTTATTTGTAGCCGGTGTTTGTAATTGCTGGCCTCTTGATTGCATAAAAGCTGTTAAAACATCAGATAAACTAACATAACAACCTAAAAATAATTCATTGACACGCCATGTCATCGGATCTGGAAATTCACCTATTGGACCCGAACAAGCAACTCCTACTATATTAATCATTCGTAAAATATCATTAGCACTAACATCATCCAACATGTCATCAGTCACTAATTGACAAACCGTTCGAATTCCACCAAGTGTAGTATCTTGAGAAAAAAATGATACTAAATGATTACTATCATCAATATCAGCTAATTCTTGAATATGTTCAGCCATTTTTCGAACTTCTTTACGAAGAATTTCATTAAAATCTAAACCTTGTGTTACAGCACGTCGAGCTAAACCACGTGCATTTTTCGAAGTATTATCTAAAGCACGTAAATATTCTGCTTGTTGTGCAGAATTTAATTGAGAAACTTTATCATCATTAGCTATTTGTGACATTCGCATAACAAATGATTTCTTTTTACGAATAATTGAAGTTTTTAAATATTGTAAACGAGCACGTAAACTTGAATCATTAAGTAAAATGTTAACATCTTTTTCATTCGACAATAGAGAATTTTCAATACCTTGAAAATAATTCATAATGTCATTTATTTCATTTTGTGATTCAACTGTATTAACAATTTTAAGAATTTTTAACTGATTTATATAATATTCAATTTTTGTTTTCAATAATTTTTCATATGTATCAACAGTTAAACCTTCTTGCATATGAATTTTAACATTTTTTTGACCCACAATTAAATTTCCTGTTGGTAATTTATTTAGCCAAAATAAATTTTCACCAGGAAATAATGATATTGTATCATAACTTGAAGTTTGCCATGGAGTACTTTTCAGAATAGTTTCTTCTGATTTAAGTATAGCATGTCGATTCAATGAATCTCCAGAAAATAGACTAGCTATTGTAGCCGAAATTTCCATATTAGTTAAACTTGTTTTTAAATCAAGTAAATTTACATTTGATACATTATTTAATTGTAAAAGACTTGAAACAGCTCGTGTATCTGGTTGAGAAGATGACGTGAAAAGTCGAACAGCTTGTGAATTAATAATAAAATCATTTTTAATTAATGATGTTAATTGAGCTGCTGCTGTTTGTACTTGGTTTTGATCATGAACTTCTCCATCGGATATGGTTAATAATCGTAAAGCATTACAATCTTTTGGTAATTCATTTCGAATAAATTGAGTTAACATTGTAATACCTGGTGCCATGAATGTTTGACCTTGACATTTGATTTTGTAATCAGCTAATTGTTTGATTGGAATCGTATATTTATTAGGAGTACTATCGAATGTAATTAATGTGATTATGTCATTGTTATCATAATTTAAAGATTTGAAAATTAGAGGTAAAATTTCATTGACAAATCTGGGCACAGAATTACCCATAGAACCAGAACGATCGAGAATGACGATGGTATAAACATTTGATTTTGATAGAAGACTTTCATTGATATTGCTATCATCCGATAAGTTTAATGTAAGTTTTCCAATGAATCCATTTTCATTTGGATACAGAAAAAGTTCGAGATCCGAATTCATATTATTTATAGATATCGAAAGCAAAGAAAAGGATTACTTTCTTTTTGAATTAATTATTGCTGCAGTATAACTAGTCGGAAAAGAGCTGATGAAATTGCTCGACACTATGTGAATATATAGATGTTATAGATATTGCACAATACATTGTCAATGCCTTTTTATTTTTGACAAACACAAAAAACTATATCAATGACGGCATGCTTTTTTCTCGTTCTTTTTTTTTCTTGTTATTTGGTTACGATCCAATGACTCATGTTTTTTTTGGATTGATGCAATGTGAAGCAATCAGTTTGTAACAGCAGAGTGGTTGTATATTTTATTTATGTGCATTGATGAAGTTGATCGTATGTTACACGTCGTTTTCCATTCAAATAATAATAATAAAATTATCAATACACCCATCTGATTGAGACCAATGGGCTTGTTCGGATAGTAATAATAATGGACATTTATTTGAAAGAAGGAAAGCTGTTTCTTATATAAATATTTTAACAAAATGTAATTGGATTTATAATGTTCTTCATCATATCAGTAGTTTATATCTCCAAAGATAATTATTAATGAAAGAGCTATTTTCTCATATGTTCTTATTTGTTTTTAAAAATGTGTCATTGTTGATGAACACGAAAAATAATTGAAATAAGTCGATAGCGTTAAAATATTAAAAGCTGTTGATAGATTAGCTCGAGACAATCGAACTATTTTCAAACAGACTGATTAAGAAGATTTGTACAATCACACTAAAATGCCAAAAGAACAAAAGTTTTACAAAAAGCTCTAAAAACTCCTATTGATGAACTATTGAGATAGTCTCCACTATAATTATATCAAAAAATTATTTTAAAAGTTTATCAAGTCTCATTTCAAAAGTTTCTAATTATAAATAAATGAAGGAAGATCATTAAAACAAAAGTACAATTTAATAAATAAGTAAGTAAACTTCAATAATAAAAATTGTACTCTTAAAAAATTTTAAAGATATATAGTTTTATTTAATTTTACAATGTATAACTAAAATTTTCGACCTTTATGAGTACGACCATCATCAGTGATGAGACATCATTTGTAACCATAAGTCTACTTTATGTATAATAAACAATAACTAATGAAACAACAAGAAAAAGCAAAGACTGTGTTACCATATGCAAAAATTAGATAAATCCATATAAACATCATCATAATTTATAAAACATCATTGACCGTAATTATAAGTGTAAAATTAAACTAAACTGCATATCTTTAACTTTTTTTTAAATCACAATTTGTTACAGCCAATGACACATAGTTACGAATTGAAAGTCACTAACGTTAAACATTATGTTTATAAAACAGCATGAAAGAACTTCTAGCTTGAAATACCGTTCAATATGATGTTTTCAAAGACTTTCAATAGCCTATTATTTGTCCTTGGATTATGAATATACGACATCATTTCCTGGCTGAGAATTGAACATATAAATGTCTGACGAGAGAAGGTAACCAATTTTTCGATCGTTTTTTTCGCCGAAATCTAGTGCTTTATAAGTAGTCGACCATGCTTATTTCGAATATCAATATCATTTCTAACATTACATATAGACATCCATAAGAGACTTTGCAATTCGTTGAAGAATTCTGAATTCTAGGCTTTTCATGTCATATGTCAGAAAACTTCAATGGCTGTGTCTTACTCAAAGTTTTCTCTAGGTTAAATAGAGGTGAGTCAGGGGAAGGTTTCTTTTCCACACACCCACACCCAAATTCTAAACATGAAACAATCCACATCCAAAATAAAGAAAACAACTATTAACGTAACAGGACTGGATGAGTCAAACCGTTTCTTGAGTCGAGTCGTGCCGAGTTAAGTTGTTTTAGCATTTTTCCTTTTCTATTTGTTCTAATAAAAATATGTTCACCATTAGTTTTCATTATACGATGTTCAGTTCCTAGTATTTTGTACATGAACAAAAAAAAAGAGCAGCCAAACATATAAGACAGGATATGGATGTGCATGTGGATGGGCGTATCGATCTTGTTCTCCATGACATTCACATCTATACTCTGTTGACACACGAAAATGTGTTTCAACTTTTAGCAATTTAAATTATTACTTTGATTATATAATTCTATTGGATCATCTTTTTCTGAATCACAAAACTTTAGAATAATAATCATAATTCATTTACGGATGCGGCAAACCCAGATGTTTGAGGTCTGATATAAGGGAGTTTGGATTCGAATTTAGATTTAGATTTGACACCTAATGTTTGAATTTGATTCGGATTTGGCTTCCAATGATCCAAACCGTTTAAATTTGGCAACATAATTTTTCAGTAGTATATTCTTCTTAGTCCTGCAAACCTTTTATCATTTGTTTACAACTGCAGGTATCAAACTACATTGTATGTTCGCGTAGGCTATTAGAAACCTGTTTGAGTGGAGTGTTCTTTCATAGTATTTGCTACGTATAAGTCTTAGTATTTCTGTAGTGCCATAGGTTTCTCATGTAGTTTTATCTGTCTAACAACTCTGATCAAGTTGCTCGTCACAAAAATATTAGATTCTGTTTCATTCAAAGCTCTTTAGATATATGATACAACATCATTTTATCTCTTTTTAATTAAACATATAGACTGCTAAAATTGTACACTATCAAAAACAAGAAATTTAGGCCAATTCGACTGCCATATTACTGTTAGAACTTTTCATGAGAAGAAACTATTTCAGCGTTCCTATTAGAAAATAGTTTCGTTGTCGATTAAAAAGAAATTTATTAAATTTAATAGTAAGATATGCAATACGTATCGTATTGAATTAATTACACGTTCACTTTTATTTTTTAAAACCAAATATCTTTAAGATGAAGGAAAAAATTTCATCGAGAATACAAAAAACAAATAAAAAAGTCATAAAATCAACTATAATCCATCCAAAAAGTCCGTGTGTGTGAATACTTTTTAAATAACTCGAGAACAAAATGAGATAGAAGTCTGGTTTTCACCACTATGCAGAGCTTGGAGTACTCTATCGATGCGTTAATAGAAGATGAAAAACATCGACTTTTCAGGTGATGTTCATTGTTGATCTTTGAAAGAAGTGAACGTGGTTACCTTGAGTTTTACAGTGACTCATCAGTTTTAAATATGTAAAAAATAGCTCAGAGGACCTTCTATCATGTGATGAAAGGCAGACCACTGAGGCTATTATGGTTGAAAAATGTTACATATTTTCCTGGAGTCTATAAAAGTACTTTTTCTCAATAGGATGGACTACAAATATGTATAGTATTGTTCGTTATTGATCATTTTTTGAATTTTATGAATGACTAGTTTTGGTCTCGAATAACTTTTGCAATTGAATATAAAGAGCTAGACTATGCAAAAAGAGTATGAATTCAAAATTTTAATTCCTATATACTGTGTTCATCTAGTTTACGTCATCTTTACTACACTGGTGAGTATTCTCAGGATCCTTTCGATGTATCGAAATCGTCTTTTTAAAATAACAAAGTTAGTCACCATATGTACTAATGCGTTAACCATTGCAATTATTACTAGTGTTTTTTCTTCAGACAGGAGTCTTGGACGACTAAACTGTCGAAAAGAAAGTAAATCAATAACTCTTAGAACAATAACACAACATAGCAAAGACGATGTAAAATAGATGAATACAGCATATAAGAATTAAATACATGTTTATATCAATAAGTGATACTATGTAATATGCTGGTCATAAAATAACACTTTTTATTTCATTTTAATCACGTGTTTTGAATTCATACTCTTTCTGTATAGTCTAGCTCTTTATCTTCAATTGCAAAAGTTATTCGAGACCAAAACTAGTCATTCATAAAATTCAAAAAATGATCAATAACGAGCAATACTATACATATTGGTAGTGTATCCTATTGAGAAAAAGTACTTTTATAGACTCCAGGAAAATATGTAACATTTTTCAACCATAATAGCTTCAGAAGTTTGCCTTTCATTACATGATAGAAGATCCACTGAGCTATTTTTTACATATTTAAAACTGATGAGTCACTGTAAAACTGAAGGTAACCACGTTCACATCTTTCAAAGATCAACAATGAACATCACCTGAAAAGTCGATGTTTTTCATCTTCTATTAACGCATCGATAGAGTACTCCAAGCTCTGCATAGTGGTGAAAACCAGACTTCTATCTCATTTTGTTCTCGAGCTATTTAAAAAGTATTCACACACACGGACTTTTTGGATGAACTATAGTTGATTTTGATTGCAAGAACTTTTCATACTGCGAAACTTTTATCAATCGATAAGAGCTATTTAATAGTGATTTTATTGCTGTGAATGGGCCACTTGAAGAATGTTAAATATATATCTTAAGACACCCAAAACTATTTGTTAGATTTGTACAAATCTGAAGACAAATTCAAACCTATGCTCAAACCTGAACTACAAATCCAAGTCTGTATCCAAATATAGCATACAAGTCCAAACCCAAATCCAAATCACAAAGGTTTGATGCCAAATCCAAATCTATCTCAAAATTTGTTGCATCCCTAGTCACTATGTTCATTTGATTAGTCTAGAATGATTTGCTTTGTCAAGTTTTCTTTCTCGAGATATCGAAGCTTTCAATAAAAATCGATGATCATTCGATAAAATTCACTTTTGATTTGAATGAACGAGGTCCTCTATGAAATTCGTTCATTTGGCAAGTTGCACTTTTTTCTATCATGCAATATTAAATAGTCGGAATTCGCTCGCATATCTCGAAAGAGAATATTAGAACTTGTACAATTAATTTATTTTATTAACAAATTCGTTCATGCAAATCGAAAATCAATATTCTGCGTGATCACAGTTGTTTGTTGCAAATTCCGATATCTCAAGGACAAACACTCGATAAACCAAACCATTCTATTGCTCATAAAGTTGAGCATAGCCTCCTTTGAAAAGCGATTTGACACTTGGAGATATTCCGTCATCAGCCCCTGTCACCTTTTCATAAAATTTTTTCACAGATCTTTGTTAC